AGAGGTTATTATGTCAATGGTTTTAGATTTATGACCCAAAAAGCCAGTAGTGAAAGACAAACATATAACTGTGGTGTATGTGTGAAAGGAACAACCATATCTGATGATGCTGAGACTGATTATTATGGCATCCTTAACGAAGTCATCGAACTATTGTTTTATGGACCACATGTGCAAATGTAGACAATTGTCTTGTTCAATTGTGATTGGTTCGATACACGTAGGGGAACACGTATTAACCAAGTTTACGACATTGTTGAGGTCAACCCACGATATCAATTGTCAACTGGCGAGCCATTTTGCTTGGCGTGTCAAGCAATGCAAGTGTATTACAGTAGTTACCCATCAAATAATTGAGCAACTCATGGATGGTTCGCCGCATGCAAAATACGTGCTAGACATTTGGTCGACGCTTCTTCAACCTCACTTGATATGGAAGAAATATTCCAAGATGAGGAGCCACCATCAACACAATCGAATGAGCATAGTTCCAATTTGTCATCTACAGAACGCGTGAATTTGCATGCAGAAGGAGCAACAATGGTTGACTTAAATGGAGATGCAAATGATGATGTTGATGAAAATCCGAGTGAAGGAAATGAAGGATATGAAACAAAAGGCGATGTTGGTGACGATAGTAGTGAGACTGAATAGTCGTTAAATAATTGAAGTTCAAGTACAATAATAGTTTTAAAATTTGGTTGTCATTTAAAAATATAAATTTTGTGTATAAGACTTCGTAATTAACAAATATACTTATGAATGACTAGTGACTATTTCTTCAAATTTTGTTTCATTGCCATTATTTATGATGTTGTAAATGTTTATAAATAGAAAATTTATAAACTGCACATATATTTATTTGGTGACATTAGTACTGACATACTTTATGTGACCATATGTTTTGCAGGATGTCTGGTGGGCCCATCAACTCCGCGCATAGTCGCAGCACATCAGGGAGACGAGGACGTCACAACTCTGTAGATCTTGCATGTGACGTTACCCCAGTATTGGACGTGGGCCATACTCGGTCTATTAGTCCACAAGGTTCCATTCATGCAGCAGCCTCATCCCATAATGAGAAGCAGAAGGGAAGAGGTCCGAACAAACCAAAAAGGGCTGCAAGAAGAGCAGATGAAAGACCATTTATACAAATTTCGCATAAAGGCACCTTCTTGGATGTTGAAGTCCCCAGATTGATTACGACCCTATGGAAGAGGGTTTATGATGGTGATTACTTCACCTATGACTTGTTCCCAGAACAGAAAAGGCTGCAAGTGTGGGAGTTGTTTAAGGTAAGAGTAATTATCATTTCATACATAATCCTTCCATCAAATATGTAGCGTATGATTAATGATAACGTAACAACATATATGATAGAGTATAAGTCACTATTGTTGGTGTATTGGTCGATATAGGTAATTTAATGGTATGAATACTGCATACACTTAAAAAAAAAAAAAAGAAGAAGAAAAGAAAACAGTCATCATATGACTGTAGTAAAACAATATGGTATCATAATAGTCATCATATGACACAAAAATCCTTATAATTTTGAGTTTGTCAATAAAGTATTAAAAGTTTTGATTCGTTTCAATTAGCTCTTTCGTATGGACAAAAATGGTAATTAAGTATATACGAAAAATGGGATATGATGTATATACATGTGTTATTATACTATATTATATGTTATTAAGTTACATAGAAATAATTTATTTGTATGTGGTGACAGACACATTATCAATGGGGTTTAGAGGATGAGGATGCAGTCCGAAAGGCGTTCTTAAGATCAATGAAGGAAGGATGGGGCGATAATATGAAGGATGAACGGGATAAGTGGCGTGCAAACGGTGAGTATAGGCCGGTATGGGTGCCTGAGCACCTATGGCCTACATTATGCGCTTATTGGAATTCTGCTGAGTTTCACAATCTTAGCGAGAGAGGGAAGAAAAACCGAGCATCTGGGGAACGAGTTACACACACTACAAGATCAGTAAGTTTTGATGTACATGAAGAACGGATGGTAAGTAAGAAAAGAAAGAAAAGTGTATATATATATATAATAGATAATCAACACAAGTTATATTATTTTTGTATAATTATCGATTAACTACAAATATAATAACTTGCTAACCTCGCATAATATGGTTGTGACACACAGACCAAAGCTGCTGGGGGGGTAAGGCCAGCACACCAAGAGCTATACAAAGGAAACACATACTTTACGAAAAGGTGTCTCCCAAGGACAAGAAGCTCCATGGTGTGGCGACAAACATAAGACTCGGCATGTAAGTGCGAACATACTAAATAAAAAGATTTTTATGAGTGATATAGATTGTTAGAAAAAGTGAATAAAAGGTTTATTAATAAAGTTAGTGGTGTTAAATAGAATATAACAAAAATTTTGCATGAGTAAGTATTAGTATGTGTAAGTGTTAATGAAAATATTTTGTTTGGGTATTGATTGTCTCTCGATGATTGTTACTTTGTTATCACTTGTTCGTAAATAATAATTATTACATTTTCAGCATTGTTATGTCTATACAACGTTTAAAAATTTGCAGTTATATGTTGTAGTTTTTTTTGCATTACTTTTGTAGGATACATACGTCAATGAGTGCTCTGCTACATATGGCTCGGACTCAGCATCATGGCCACCTCGGGACAATGACGCTTAGGCAACTGCTGTTGGGGGATGCCACAGCAATTTCATGCCAGGAATTGGTTCACAGGTAAACCCAGAGGAACTTGGGTTTACATATAGAAAACGACAACCAACGGGGACTTAATATGTGAGCCTAATGATATCAGACATGGCTGAAAAACAAGCCAAAGATAGGGAGGCAATGCAAATGATGCGAGACGAAATAGGGCAAGTCAAAGAGCAACGAGAAGCAATGCAACGGATGCTGGAAGACATGGGGAGGATGCAGGCATCTCTATCACAGCAATTTGCTGCTTTTAGTGCCTACGGGATGCGCCCGCCTACTGCTACCCCATCATTGCCTCACACTGGGCAAGCATTTCTTCCTGTAGGGACATCATTCCCTACTGCTGGGCCATCGTTTCATGCTAGTGGGCCATCATTTCCTCATGCAATGCCAATGCAAATGCCAAGAGAACCTGCATTCCCTATGGGCCAAATGGGGAGACAATCAGGATCTCCAGGTACATCTTCAGCCAATCCCCCACAAGATGATTATGGTTACCAGCCGAGATTTGATGCAGATTACCAAGGTCCATTTGGGCCGGAATGATCAGTGTGCATGAGATTGCGAACACAAAACTTGGCATGTTCTTGATACTTGAGGAAAATACTTTTAGTTTCTGGGTTTGTGATTTGAACTTGTTAGGACGTGTGTATATGTCAGTTGGAATTGAATGGTTTGTGGTAATATTAACTGTATTATTATGACTTGCAAGTTTAGAATATGTAAATAGTCATATTAAATGTTGCACGTGGTACTTACATACTTATCTTTTAATTTATGATTATGAGATGAGGGAATTATATGAGTGGTACAAATTTATAATAATGTGATGAATTGAAAATATGTGATATGATAAATGACATTGTATGTAATGTGATATGGTAAAATCAAAGTGTAGTAAGAACAAGTGCAAAAGTTGGGTATGTTAGAGAGGATTGAGCATTTCAGGCATGTTAGAGTCGACTATATACATCAAGAATCGACTATCAACCCTCCAAGAGTCGACTGTATAGGAGCAACATTGGACTCCCAAATTCTATCGAGCATGTGCTGCAAGTTAGAGTCGACTCTGTAAATAAAGAGTCGACTCTACCTCTTCCAAGAGTCGACTATATAAAAGCAACATTCGACTCCCAAATTCCAGAGAGGTTTGAGAATCCTGCTGCATGTTAGAGTCGACTCTAAATCCTCCAAGAGTTGACTATATAGGATCAACATTCGACTCCCAAATTCCAGAGAGGTTGAAGCACCCTGCTGCAGGTTAGAGTCGACTCTATTAATGAAGAGTCGACTCTAAATCCTCCAAGAGTCGACTATATAGGATCAACATTCGACTCCCAATTTCCAGAGAGGTTCGAGCATCATGCTGCAGATTAGAGTCGACTCTATACATGAAGAGTCGACTCTAAGGCCTCCAAGATTCGACTGTGAAGGAGCAACATTCGACTACCAAATTCCAGAGAGCAGGGAAAGTTTCCAGTGGTAGGTATAGTCGACTCTGTTCTTTTAAGAGCCGACTCTTTGGGAAATGAGTCGACTCTTATATTAAAAATCGACTAAAGGCAAAAAATTGCAGTAAATTTATGTGAAATATTTATGTA